TAGAAAAATTTCTAAAAAGATTTTCACCAAAACAAAAATATAAAAAAGGAAAGAAAAAATTACTTGTGTGTTATAAGTGTGGAAAAGTAGGCCATTATAAAAGTAACTGTAAAGTCAAAAAGAAAATAGATTCACTAATATTAGATGAAAATATTAAAAACCAAATATATGATATTATACAAATATATCATAGTGATAGTTCTGATAAGAGCGATACAGAAAGTTCTAGTGATAACTCATTAATAGGAAATATTGAAGATGAGAATCTCATATGGACTAGTACTGAAGAATCTGATAGAGAAATACAAGAATGTTCATGTAATATGTTATCTAAAGAATATAATTTAATCCTAGATTTAATAGAAAAAATCACAGACCCAGAGGAAAAACGATAAACTATAACACAATTCATTAATATTACTAAAGCCAAAAATAAACCTACTCCTTTGATAAAAACCCCAGATGAATATAATTTTACAAAAATTATTAAAAGAATAAATAAAAAAGATATAGTTCAAAAAGAACCAACAATAATAGAATTAAAAAAGGAGTTAAATGAAGTAAAAATAGAAATACAATAATTAAAAAATAGAATTAAAATAATAGAATTACAAAATGAAGTAATAGGAAATATTACAGACACTAATGAGATAGAATTTGAACATTTAATAAAGCAAACAGAACAAATAAGTCAAACAGACCAACCTGAATCATCAGGAATAAAATTAGAAGAATTAAACAATAATAAATCTGTGAATTTAATAAATAAAATTATTTCTCAAAAATGGTTTGTATTAGTAAAAATCGTAGTTAATAATGATTATAATTTTGAATCTTTAGCATTAGTAGATTCTGGAGCAGATTTAAACTGCATTAATGAAGGATTAGTACCTACAAAATATTTTGACAAAACCACCAAAATATTGAATATTGCTGATGGAAGTAGATTAATCATCAAATATAAATTATCTAATGCTGTTGTATGCAATAATGGACATTGTTTCCCTACTCCATTCATAATGGTAAAAAGACTAAGTCAAGCAGTAATACTTGGTGTTCCTTTCCTTACTCTTTTATATCCAATCACAATTAATAATACAGGAATATAAACAACCATAACAGGAGAAATAATAAAGTTTGAATTCGTCGATAAACCAAAATTAAAATAAATAAATAGAGTTAAAGATAATATTAAACAAAAAGAAAATTTTATTTGTTCACTAAAAGAATAAATTAAATATAAATTAATAGAAGAAAAATTACAAACTACTGAAATAAAAGAACAAATAAAAAATATAACTAAATAAATAGAAAAAGAAATATGTAGTGAATTATCTAATGCTTTTTGGAAAAGAAAAAAGCATATAGTAAGTTTACCATATGAATCTACTTTTCACGAATCTAAAATTCCTACAAAGGCAAGACCAATACAAATGAATACACAATTGTTAGAATTTTGTAAAAAAGAAATAGATGGTTTATTAACCAAATGATTAATTAGACCAAGCATTTTTCCTTGGAGCTGTGCTGCTTTTTATGTAAATAAAAATGCAGAACAAGAAAGAGGAGTTCCAAGACTCGTAATAAATTATAAACCATTAAATAAGGCACTTCAATGGATTAGATATCCAATACCTAATAAAAAAGATTTATTAGATAGATTATTAAATGCTTATATCTTCTCAAAATTCGATTTAAAGTCTGGATATTGACAAATCCAAATAAAAGAATATAGATATAAAACAGCTTTTAATGTCCCATTTGGACAATATGAATGGAATGTAAAGCCCTTTGGACTAAAAAATGCTCCATCAGAATTCCAAAGGATCATGAATGATGTATTTAATCCTTATATGAAATTCATGATAGTTTATATTGATGATGTATTAATTTTTTATGTGCTGCTTTTTATGTAAATAAAAATGCAGAACAAGAAAGATGAGTTCCAAGACTCGTAATAAATTATAAACCATTAAATAAGGCACTTCAATGGATTAGATATCCAATACCTAATAAAAAAAGATTTATTAGATAGATTATTAAATGCTTATATCTTTTCAAAATTCGATTTAAAGTCTGGATATTGACAAATCCAAATAAAAGAATATAGATATAAAACAGCTTTTAATGTCCCATTTGGACAATATAAATGGAATGTAAAGCCCTTTGGACTAAAAAATGCTCCATCAGAATTCCAAAGGATCATGAATGATGTATTTAATCCTTATATAAAATTCATGATAGTTTATATTGATGATGTATTAATTTTTTCTGAAGATATATCACAATATATAAATCATATAAATGTTTTTATAAATGCTGTTAAACATGCAGGATTAGTTGTTTCTGCAAAAAAGATGAGTTTATTCCAAACAAAAATTAGGTTCTTAGAACACAATATATCCCAAGGAACAATCATACCAATAGATAGATCTATTCAATTTGCTGATAAAATCCCAGATATTATCCTAGACAAGAAAGAATTACAAAGATTTTTAGGATGTCTTAATTATATAGTAGATTTTATAAAAATCTAGCAATAAATGCAAAACCTCTATATGACAGATTAAAAAAGAATCCTCCCAAGTGGACTGACATTCATACTGAAGTAGTAAAAAAACTTAAACTTAAATCTAAGGAATTACCCTGCCTTTTACTACCAGATCCAAATGCTTTTAAAATAATTGAATGTGATGCCTCAGAATTAGGATTAAGAGGAATTCTCAAGCAAAGAATTAATTCCACTGAACAATTAGTTCGTTATACTTCTAAAGCATGAATCCTACTCAACAAAACTACTTTATAGTTAAAAAAGAAATTTTAGCTATCGCTCATTGTGTTACTAAATTTCAAAGTGATATTTTAAATATTACATTTCTTATTCGTACGGACTGCAAAGCTGCTAAAGACATTCTTCTGAAAGATGTGCAAAATTTAGTCTCTAAACAGATATTTGCTCGTTGGCAAGCCATTCTCTCTGCTTTCGATTTTACCATTGAATATTTACATGGTTCTCATAATTCCCTTCCTGATTTTCTCACCCGTGAATTTTTGCAGGGGGCAGAACAGACAAATCTGACCAATAAAGAACTCCCTTTAGCTTTAACATTAGTTAATAATAATAAAATGAATACTAATAGAGGGAAAGCACATATGGATATGTCATTAATACCAGCAACTTCTTCATCACCAATCAGGAATATTGTGCCATATTCCCCAAGCATCCCAAATAGCCCAGTAAATCAATATCCATCTTTCTCCAGCCAACCTCCACAAACACCAGTATATTTACAAACACCAGTTCCCAAGAAATCCACTTCTACTGAAAGATCTCAGTATGAAGAAATTGCTTTTATTGAATACTCAATTATAGAAGATATTCATGTCAATGATGACCCAAATAGTGTTGCCTGATATTACTTTTGCAATAATCACAACCCTTCAAATGGTATAAAAACCAGAGAATGGTATGAGATGGTTCTCCTAGAAACAGGATATATTACTATAGCACACTATTATCAAAAGAATTCAAAAATAATATCATATTCTAAATTACAAATTAAAAAAGTATTATTGTTCAATGAATGGGGATCAGACCCTTCCAGAGCTAAGAGATTGGCATCCCCTATATTCCCAAATAGACACTATAGATATTCAGAATATGTGGAAGCCTGGCAAAAGTTCTCACACTCCAGAACCAGTATAACTCTCATACCTAGTTTCTTTAGTTTAAAATGCCAATAAATGACCCATTTCCAAACTGGTTCAGAAACTGGTTTGCAATATGGGGTTCAAGGACCCAAATAATGCCTCAAGCCTTGCAAATATCCCAATCAAAATTCATTGAAGCCAATGGGAGAGATCCCAACATTGACTACCATTTATATTTTGTTGCGCTATATCAGGTACCTTGGATACTCAAATGGAAATATGCTATATTTCAGAACAATACACATAATTATGAATACATTCCTTGTATAGGCAAAAGTATCTCAATTAAATGGTGGGACGTCTTTGTCTACCAAAATCTTGAGCCTGAGAAAATTCCGTTAAAACAAATACCATCATCATATAGATCATATTCATACCGTAACCCAAATAGTTTGTCTGAATATATATCAATGATGAAAAAACAAAACCCACAGGCTACCAAGGCAAAACTTGAGAAGCAATTACTTCAAATGTTTACAGCAGAAGCTGAAACTACACAAATTCATAAAGAAGACAATGCAGAAAGTGAATGAAATGAAGAAATAGAGGAACTTGAAGATCAATCGGCCCAGGGTTGTTCTCAAAAGCAAACTCTGTATTAGTTCGACTCGGCCCGACTCGGTCTCAATCATATAACATCAACAATATAGCAACAATTATCAACTCAGCCATCATTTCAAAAGATTCCTCCACTGACAATAAAGACAAATATTATCACATCAGCCACAGCAAAAAGCAGATTCCCTACTTTTCGTACATACCACCTGTCCACCTTTGTAAAAAGAAGATTCCACCTGTCTACCTTTATAAAAAGCATATTCTACCTATCCGCCTTTATCTAAAGTAGAAGCCACCTGTCCTCCTTTACCTGTCCAAAGAAGATTCCAAGCCATCCACCTGTGCTCTACTTTCTTACTGACAAGTGAGGATCGTCCATCTAGCAATCATCAAAGAAAAGCATCCCCTAGCTGGCAACCATCGAGAGATACCCTGCAAAGCAACAAATTATAATTTAATGGCACTTGAGGTCCGCCCACTATAAATTCCAAGCCCCAACAGACGACTGAGGCATCAAGTGGTCTCATTGACTTCTCTCTCTGAGCATCCTTCTCCTTCTTATGCTCTAAGTCTTCTCTTCTCTTCTCTCTTGTAAATTTTATGTGTGACTGTAACCTTAGCAAGTTACCTAGCTACTGTCCAAGTGAGTGGCGATCATTCTGTAGTTACTGCATATGGACACAGTAAGTTTTTATTTCTGGTTTTGTTTACAGTCCATATAGTATGTTTGTTTAGAAGTTTGTTTGCAGAGTCTGTAATTTATAATACAATTGATTCGAGTCTGTAATCTATAATACAGTCTATTTGAATAAAATAAAAGTTGTGGATGTTTCATAATGCAATTTAGAGTTGTATTTAGTATAAAAGTGTATCAGTCTTCTTATGCGACTTGGTTATTAGTTGATATATCTCCATTCTCTTTATTTGTAATCATCATCATATTATTATACTAAGGATATTTACGATTGTTAGCATAATAAATTAGAAATAATTGTTAGAAATAATTGTAGAATAACTTAAATAACTTAGTGGGATGATCTTGGAATAAATTGGTATCAGAGCCAATCCCAAGAAACTTCTAAAAATTCTTGTTCCAAGAAGATTATTATCCTGAGAAATATTTTATTAGGCAGAAACCTAATTAAATTTTCCATTAGAGAAAGTTGGTCCGAGAGTTGAGGCTAAGAACACCCAGTCTAAGAGACAGTAAAAGGCAAGAGAGCCACTGAGGTCAAGAAAGACGTAAGAGGTAGTTAAAAAGCACTCATCCGCAACCTAATAATGGATAATTTCATTAGGAATCTATCTAACAAAGCGTTACCTCAGACTAATAATATTCTTAGAATAAAGAATAAAGAAGAAATTCTTATTGATGATATAGAAAACCAATTACAAAATTGGAATATACCGAAAGTACCCATATCTAATATTTACCAAGAAGAAACTTTTAATTTAAAAATAGGATATGCTATTAAAACAGTAGAACAATCTTTATCAATAACAAGCACTCAAGAAAACTTTCAATTATTATCAAATAAAATAATTCAAATACATAAATATAAAAACCAAAACTATTTACATATAGGATTAATACAAGTAGCAATTAAACCTTTAACAAGATTAGAACTTAATAATTCAATCTTAGTCTATCTTAGAGATACCAGACATAATAAGTTTTCTGATTCATTACTAGGGATGATAGAATCTAGTCTTTGTAGTGGGCTTATGTATTTTAACTGCTTTCATAACTATTCGGTCTCACTAAATGATCATAACATTCTTAATGCCTTAACATTAAATGAGAAAACCCAAGGTTTTGATATGATCCCAGGATCACAAAACATAGCTATTATATATAGAATTTACTATAAAGTTATGAACACTTTATGTCCCAAAGTAGTACAAATGGATACTAAGACAAGAACTACTTTATTCCAAACCAATATAGAAAAATCCAATACTATAATACCTAAAACAATAAAATGGTCTGAAATGATACTACCTGAATCCTGGTCATTACAAAATGAAAATATAAATCACCAAATACCTTCAAAAAACATTCCTGATAAAATTATTGAACATATGGATGGTAATATAGAAATACAATTTGCAAATTTAGGAGATAAATTAAAAAGCAAAGATGATTCTGAATTACAAAGACCAAAAAAAAAAATAGAACCATCTAGATACTCAATCTCATCTATTTCAAATATCAAACCTCAATTGGAAGGAGCAATAAGAACCAGAGAAAATATTGTAATACCTCAATATAAACCCATACAGAATGAAGCCAAAGGAGATCCAGAATTTTTTGACTCAGAAATGGATTTTCATGTATTAACCTTAGAAGAACAAAGAATAGATAAAACATATATAGAAACAGACTACTTATCTGATGAGAATAAAGAAATAAAAAATAGTATCTTAAAATATTTGAACCAAGATTAGTAGAATTATTCCATAAAAAATATAATAAATTTCTTAAAAAAGAAAAACACATCTTTGTACCATTTATAATGTGATAATGTTGGACATTTTAAATTAGATAATAAATCTTCAGTTCTTACTTCAAGTAGGGCTGTACTCCCCACAAAATGAAGAGTGATGGTATAAATAAGAATATTAACAGCATCACTTTCAGAATATAATATATCTTGATTTTGTTCATTTTTAACAGTCCATTGTCTAGTATTATTTAATATTTGATTTTTATATTTTCAGGTAAGTGAAAATCCCACCAACCACGAAGCCATCCAGTGAATCCACAAACAATAGCCTTGGCGACTTCCTGGTCGTGGTTGCCTACCATTTTACATGCTGAAGCATACATGGTCATGTGTTTCATTGTATCTAGAATTTGATGTTCAGACATGTCATCTATATTCCAATTGACTATGGTTCTTCCTTAATAGGAGGTTGTATGAGATATGAGATCTTCTTCAAACTGGATATCAACAGGAGTTGGTCGTGGGTGATATGGTCTAGCTGTAGCAGGTTTCTAATTTCTTCCATACGATATTCTTTGAATGGATTGGTATTTGTTATTGTTTTTAGTAAATGCTATTTCCATATTTTTTATTGAATCTTCAATTATGGGTTCTTCAACTTCAAAGGTTAAAGTTTCTGATTCTTTTATGACTATACCTTTGTTTCTACTATCTTCTTTCTTAGTATTTTCTTTTATATCAAGTTTAGCTAATTTTGATATTAATTGATCCATTAGGTTCTTATTATTATCACCTATATGAAATTTTTCTTTATTTAAAGAAGGAAGTGATTCTTGTATTGGTGCTGGTCTTAACATATTTTTTATTCTTAATGTTTGTTTTCCTATGAATTGCATGCATAGATTTGTGTAATTATTTTGTTCTATTATGTGAGGAATTAATTCTGTTCTATGTACTATTTCTCCAGTAGTCATTTTATATGGAGTAGCTTTTATTCCTAAGACAAACGCATTATCTGTTTCTGTACCTTTTATTATTAGACTCCTTTCTGAGGGATGTATATATATATATATGAGCAATGATCGAATGCAATGGTTGTATTATAGTATAATGCAACAACACTTCTAAAAAACTATGTTTGTGGTATTTGTATCACCCCAAATTTTACACACACACTCTCTTCATCTCAATAATCAATCCCAAAAAAAAAAAAGTTCAATTTGAACCCTAGATATGGTCAAAATGAGTCCCTTCCAAAAATGAATCTAGACCATTCATTTTGTGAATTTCAAGATCTTAACCTTTATAAACTCAAAATATTTTTTATTTTTGTTTTTTCAACATTGTTGATCTAATGATAATCAAGATATCAAAAAAAAAAAATTGGAAATAAAAAATTCCTTCTAAAGCCTAAATCTAAGCATCTCACCAAAATAAACGGCCTATATTAATTGGACCAAAAAATTACTTTCTAAATTGTGTTTTCAATTTTTTCTTTTTTGTGATTGTTCATTAGAATGAAAAGAGTGTATATTTCAAAATTTGGATCAATCAAATAGCCATAAGATAGTTTTTTAAGGTCATTGCATTATACTACTATACAATGGTTGCATGATATCATTGCCAT